TTTTAGATCTAGGGAATTTTTCTAATGATTATTTTACCTAAAAAATTTTTTCTAGTAACTTTTGGATTTAAAGAATTTTTTAGTAACTTTTTAGGTCTAGGGAATTTTTCTAGTATTTATTCTAGTGATTTTTGATTCTAGGGCATTCTTTTAGGATTTATTCTAGAGATTTTTAGTCCTAAAAATTTTTTTAGTAACTCTTTGATCTAGTGAATTTTTCTAGTAACTTTTAAATCTAGGGATTTTTTTTTATAACTTCAAAATCTTAAAAATTTTGTTAATCACTATAAAAAAGTCACTAGAAATTTTCATCTAGGGATTTTTTTCTAGTAACTTTCAAATCTAGGAATTTTTCTTAAAATCTAGTTTTTTTTAAATTACTAGAAAAATGTATCTAGGGATTTTTTCTAGTAATTTTTTAATCTAGGGAATTTTCCTAGTAACTTTTAAATCTAGGGATTTTTTTGATAACTTCAAAATCTTGAAAATTTTGTTAGTCATTATAAAAAAATCACTAGAAATTTTTAACTAGAGATTTTTTCTAGTAACTTTTAAATTTAAAAATTTTTCTCACTTTAATAATTTTCTCAAATAAAATTCATATATTTTTCATATTGTACCACCCTAACTAAAATCAATTGGTTGTATCTTCCCCCTCCCCCTCCAACATAATATCTTATCGCTCTTGTCATCCAACAAGGGCCAAAAAACATCGATCTTAGTCATAAAACCGTCCCGGTCACGTGCAAGATTTACGAATAAAAGAGAAATGGAACTATACATAAAAATCGGAAGTTGTTGATCGGAAGGATCTTCTTTTATTCGTTTCTATTTATTGAAGTGTCATTAAATGACTCATCTTTAGCTTATCGAATTGGTAAATCGATCGGAAGGTCTAGTATAAGTTATAAAACTAGTGTGCAATTTAATTGTATGGAAATCAATGCAAAAGTTAATCATAAAGTTGAATATGAAGATGAAGATGATGATGATGATGATGATGAGTAAGATGAGAATTACGTGTAGCACCTGTATGGATGGTTTCGGTGGTTTAGCAGGTGCAAGTATCTTGTATCCTATAGGAAATTATTATTTTCAAAGCGTACGAGTTCGCGTGTCTTTTAAATGCCGTAAAAAGAGACAAGTTAAAGTCTTGTCATTTTTTATTTTCTTCTTTTTTTAAGGATATCGATGAAGAATGTAATGGTTTTTTTTTAAGAGATTTCAGGTGCATTTTATGAGTAGAGAAAAAATTATTAGTATGATTTTTTTATTAGAAAAAAATCTAGTGATTTTTTTCTAGTCATTTTTAGATATAGGAACTTTAAAAAGTTTAGTTATTTTTTCTTAGTTCTTAAAAAAAATCAGAAAAAGTAATTTAATTGATTTTCTAGGGATTTTTTGATCTAGTGAATTTTTCTAGTAACTTTTGGGCCTAGGGAATTTTTTAGGGAATTTATTTAGTTACTTTTGGATTTAGGGAATTTTTCTAGTAACTTTTGGATCTAGGGAATTTTTTAGAGGATTTAATTACTAACTTTTGAATTTAAGGAATATTTTCTAGTAAATTTTTGGATCTAGGGAATTTTTTAGGGAATTTGTTCAGTTATTTTTGGATTTAGGGAATTTTTCTAGTAACTTTTGGACCTAGGGAATTAGTAACCAAAATTTAGAGAATTTTCTCAGAAATTTTTGGACCTAGGGAATTTTTCTAGTAATTTTTTGGGCCTAGGGAATTTTTCTAGGGTTTTTTCAATAATTTGAAAATCTAAACAATTTTGTATAGAATTTTTTTGGTAACTCTTTTTTAGGAAATTTTCCTAGTAACTTTTTTTTCTAGGAATTTTTTTAGTTACTTTTTAATCTAGTGAATCTTTCTAATAACTTATAGATCTAGGGAATTTTTCTAGTAAATTTTAGGCCTAGGGAATTTCTTAGAGAATTTATTTAGTTACTTTTGGATTTAGAAATATTTTCTAGTAACTTTTTCATCTAGGGAATTAAGTAACCAAAATTTAGGGAATTTTTCTAGTAACTTCTTTTTCTAGGAATTTTTTTAGTAACTTTTTAATCTAGTAAATTTTAAACCTAGGGAATTTTCCTAGTAATTTTTTGGACGTAGGGAATCTTTTTAGTAATTTATAGACCTAAAAAATTTTGTAAAGAATTTTTTTGGTAACTTTTTAATCTAATGAATTTATCTAGTAACTTTCTGATCTAGAGATTTTTTTTTAAGTGACTTTTTCTAACAAAATTGAAATCTCGATAATTTTTAAAATAATTTATTTTAGTACAGTAATTTATTTTCTTTTTCCAATTTCTTCTTTCAAAATAATAAAATAAAAATTTAGCAGATAAAGTCGTGATGCACCTTGTCGTTATTAATTTCTTTACAAGTAGACACTTGCTTATAAACGCACGCAAGTCAGCAATTTAGTGGTACGATTTCAGCTTCTTCTTTATAATTATTATTATTTATTTATTTTTATTTATTATTATTATTATTATTATTATTATTATTATTATTATTATTTTAAACTGGAGAGAGTTGACATGACATTTAAAAAGTATCTCAGTCTCTTTCTGATGACGGTCATCAGCGAGAGAAGCTCCAATTGGAATAATCTTGAACGATCTTGATACCGGTTAACTAATCAGCGAGCAGGTGTTTCGCTTACCACTAAAATATATATAAAAATAAATATATGTATGTATATAGAGGAAAATAACGAGTCGTGTGTCCTTGGTGATCATACAAGCATGTACTTTCATTTTTTTTTTAATTTTTTTTTGGTACCCGACCACGAGAATTTAAGTTATCCGTTATTTAATCGGGAGTAAAAGCCCGCAATTTGATATCCTCAAATTTATTCTCGAGGTGGCTGTTTTTTTTTATTTGTTTGGTTGTTTTTCAGTAGTGAGTATAATGTTGAGAGTATCGGCTACTGTGAGTATTTAAACTCGTTACATCCAAACATGTGTGGGAGATTTTAGGGGGGTGGGGGAAAAGGGGCTACCGGTTTCGCCGGTTCATGGCCTAACAGTGATATTGAGACGAACCAGCATCTTTTCCCACGTGATTTTTCCTTTTTTTATTTGGTGTAGATGTGATGATAAGTTGAAAATAATTGGGGTTTTATGTTGAAGTTTTAGTGATGGAAAATGAAGTTTGATTGGGGGGTGGAAATTTTTGATTGATGGAAAATTAGGTTTTATTAATGGAATGGGAGGTTTGATGGAAAGTGGGATTTGAGTGATGGAAAATTAATTTTGATGGAAAATGAAGTGTGATGGAAAAATGAAATTCGAGTGATGGAAAATGAAGTTTTATTGATGGAAAATAGCGTGATGGAAAAGTAAAATTCAATTGATGGAAAATGAAGTTTAATTGATGGAAAATAGTGTGATGGAAAATAAAATTCAATTGATGGAAAATAAAGTTTAATTGATGGAAAATGAAGTTTTTTGTGGAAATTGAAGTGTGATGGAAAAATGAAGTGTAATTCGATTGATGGAAAATAGGGTGATGGAAAAATATAATTCAGTTGATGGGAAATGAAGGTTAGTAGAAGAAAAGTAAAATTTGATGGGAAATGAAGTTTTATTAATGGAAAATGGAGTTTTTTTTAATGGGAATTGAAGTGTGATGGAAAAATGAAATTCGATTGATGGAAAATCAAGTTTTAATGATGGAAAATGAAGTTTTATTGATGAAAATTGAAGTTTAATAATAAAAATGAAGTTTATTTATTAAAAACTGAAGTTATATTAGTCAAAAATAATTTTTTTAATAAAAAGTCACAATCTTCGAACTAACTTTCTGCAAGCGAGCATATTTAGCGACAATGCGCCACCTATTGGCAAAACCAAGAACTACTTTTTTTTTTTTTTTTTTAAATTAAAAATCATATATTCAAGATCAGGAATGATTATTTAGTTACGTTTTGATTTATTATCTAACTAAATTATAATAATAATGATGATGATAATAATAATAATAATAATATCTAAGTAAGACTTTTTTCTTCTTAGATATATCTAGCGTACCTCCGTCTAGACTAGAGCGGCGTCAAATGTCGTGTAAATTTCAATGGGTTTTTTTTTAGCCAGTTGTTAGTTGGGTCTATTGTCACTGGGACGGAATTAGCTGGGATCGGCACCCGAGAAGAAAAATAAAAGAGAGGGAGAAGACAAACGCGTGGAATGGCCTTTGGCGCCACGGAGACTGCAGGCAAACCGCCAGACAGGTGCTACTTTTCTCTCTCTCTTTTTCTATTTGTCTTTCTCGCGCTTTTTTGGAGGCGCTCCAGTTAGTTGTTGTCATCCGAGACATCTGAGTAAAGTGATATGCCAGATGCAATCGAGAGTCCGGAAAATATTATTGTTTTATTTAATTCTTAACTTACATTAAAAAAAAAAATTTTTTATTTTATTAGTTAGATTAAAAATAGACAAACAATTATTTTTATGTCTTCGCCGGCATTTTTAGAATCCTTAGAGTCTTAGCTTTAAGACCTACAATAAATTTTTTGAAAAAAAAATTTTTTTAATAAAGTTTTCAGCGCCCCCAACTCAAAAAACCCGTTTTTTTGAAAATTTTGACTAGTTCTTGGTTTTGCCGCTAGGCGGCGCATTGTAAAAAATTTCTCTCGCTAACTAAAAGGTAACTTAAAAGTTTATAATAAATTTGAAGTTTTTTTGGAAAAAAATAATTTTAATTAAAAAATTTATTTTTAAAAATAAAAAAAATAAAGTAGATTAAAAAAAAATATTTATTAGATCTAATTGTTACAATTTAAAAAACTTTATCGTGGAACATAGAATCAAAATGAAGAATATAATTCATTATAATACAACAATAATATTAATAATGAAATTAATAATTAATTTATTAATAACATGATTTAATATTAATTTTATTTATTAATATTAGATATTTTTTTTTTAATCGATTCTCATTTTTAATATCAACTAGTAATTATAATTATTCTTAATTATTATCACTTATTTACTTCATTAGACTTAATATTAATAATAATATTAATAATAATAATAATAATAATAATAATAATAATAAGAATTATATTTAAATTTAAATGGAAAAAAAAAAAAAAAACATTATTAATTAGTCGGCTGTAAACTTAATGCCTCGTAAATTGCTCGCTGTTGTTCTGATGATAGCAAGCTGACGCAGTTTGCAAACATCGTTCCGTTTAGCTGAAACAAATAATTATATTAATTATAGAAAATTATATAATTTATAAGAAATTAAATAATGATTTTTGTTAAATTGTACTATACTTTCTTAAATATTGACCTTTTTAAAGATATAAGCTCATCCTGATGTTGCACTCATCAAGAGCTTTCATTTGAGTACCCATATGCCTTTTTGATATATTTTTCATATATACATATATATAATATATTTAAATATATGAAAAATTGATGTGGGTACACGGAAAGAACAAAATTACACTGGATATCATCCCAGATTATACTGAGTAAAAAAAATTTCAGATAGTAGCTAGTGTAATCCAGATTACAAAGAGTATAAACCAGATTATAACGAGTATAATCCAGATATCACTCAGTATAATCTGGATTTTTTTAAGCTACTATCTGAAATTTTTTTACCTCAGATATCACTGAGTATAATTTGATATGATATCCAGTATCATCTTGTTCTTTACGTGTACTCAAATAAAAGGTCTCGATGAGTATAACATCAGGATGAGCTTATATCTTAAAAAATGTCAATATTTCACAAAATACAAGGTTATTTCTTCATTATTGACATTTTTTAAGATATAAGCTCACCCTGATGTTACACTCATCAAGAGCTTTCATTTGAATACCCACATGCATTTTTGATATATTTTTCATATATACATATATTCATATATTTACATATTTCATATATTTATATAAATGTTATATATATAAATATATGAAAAATTGATGTGGGTACTCAAATGAAAGGTCTCGATAAGAGTAACATCAAAATGAGCTTATATCTTAAAAAATGTCAATATTTCACAAAATACAAGGTAATTTCTAAATTATTGACATTTTTAAAGATATAAGCTCATTTTAATATCACACTTATCAAGAGCTTTCATTTGAGTACCCACATGCATTTTTGATATATATTTTTCATATATACATATATATAATATATATAAATATATAAAATATATGAAAAATTGATGTGGGTACTCAAATGAAAGGTCGCGATGAATCTAACATCAGGATAAGCTTATATCTTAAAAAATCTCAATATTTCCCAAGATACAAGGTAATTTAATAAATACCTGAATTTGTCTGAGAAGATTAGTAATCCTCTGAACAACAGGATTGTCATTAGGCACAGCCTCTTTGAGGAATGCCTCAGCAAAGTAAAATATCAACCTAGGTAAGTGTTCATTATTAGGCCCAAGTACCACCGGATGATTAGCTTCAATAAGGTCGCACAAGTACCCATAAACATGTGGCGCCTCGTCTTCATCTTCAGTCACCGGAAGCCAACTGAGCCAATGAGGAAGCATTTCATCAACATTGACCATCTTGCTGTTGTACTTGAGAATTTTCGTCACCGCACTGATGGCATTTTCCGTGGGATTAACATTTTCCTGACTCCTAGCCTCGGGCTGAGTGATGACCTCGACGAGCCTCGGGAGCGCTTCAGCGCAAGCTTGAGCGTAAGCGTCGCCGCCAAACTGCGCAAAGACACCGCAGCCGTAGGCTGCGGCTTGGCGAACTTCCGCGGAAGGATCGCAGACGTAAGAAATCATCGGCCTTAAAAAGTACTCCTGGTACTTGAAGCTAGCCGGCCCTCCGAACTCGACTACGTCGTCGAAGACACACAGCGCCCACTGGTGGTCGGACCAGGAACGCTCAGGCGCGAGGAGCTTGACAAAATGGTGGCAAATTTGGTCGAAGTACGGGAAGAAAGTCTCCTTGTGGGTTGCGAATAGAGCGTGAAGAATGTCCGCTACTTTGTTGAGGGTGTAGACATCTTCGTTGTCTTCATCGCGAAGCTGCTCTTCAACTACTTCGTCATAGTCTTCGTCTTTGCGCTTTTCAAGCCTAGCCACGGCGCGGTCAAAGTGCTCGTTAAGAAGCTTGTCCAGAATCCGGAGCAACTCGGTCATCTGAGCTGGGTCCAAGCACCCGGTTCCTAAAAGCTCGATGCACTTTGCCAAGGAATATAAGAGCTCTAGAAGGACATCAGACTCTGGTTCACTGTCGATTGATTTTAAAAGCTCAGGGCAAATGTACGCCCACATTCCTTCGAGGTACTGCGGACCTATAAGGTAAAAGACCCGATTAATGGGTCTTATAGTATAAGGATGGGGGTTACCAGAATTTGTTATTATAGTTAAAGTACAACTATTGAATTTTTTTTGTACTTAATGCCTTCATTAATGTTTAAACTTACATAATTAATTTTTAAAATTTTAATTTTTCCAAATTTACCATTATTTATAATTATTTAAAATCCATTATTCAAATGACCCCATTAATGCCAGGGCCAATAATCCCCTGATCCAATTAGTGGCACACTACTGACCACTTTAGTAGCGGGTCTAACTCGTATGCGTAAAATTTTTCAAAAAATCTATTATAAACACTAAAGTATTATTTACAAAGACATTTATTAGAAAAAGAATTATAAAATTAACAATAATTGAATTTAAAATTATTTAAGCAAAAATATATTGTTGATGACTTTTAAAAGACTCGTATTGAGATTGTTAATAACTGGACAATCAGACAGAACGTTTATCAATGTAAACAGATTTGCTATATAAAAAGGTTAGAGTGCCTTTGATTTTAACATCGCCGGTAATTGGCGCTAGAGAATTTTCATGCCCCTACACGAAAGAACAAGATGACACTGGATATATCATCCCAGATTATACTGAGTGAAAAAAAATTTCAGATAGTAGCTAGTATAATCCAGATTACAATGAATATAATCCAGATATCACGCAGTATAATCTGGATTACAATGAGTATAATCCAGACATCCCACAGTATAATCTGGATTTTTCTAACTACTATCTGAAATTGTTTTTCACCACAGATATCACTGAGTATAATCTGGGATAATATCCAGTGTCATCTTGTTCTTTCCGTGTACTAGTGACATTTTTGTTTTTTTTTTTAATAATATTTATTTTAAAAAAGGTAAATAAATAATTTTGTGATTCTATAGACTTTTAAAAATCTGTAATGATAATTACTCGTATAATTATATGAGAAAAATATTTAAAAATTCGCTTTTAAAAATGTGACCAATGTTAACCGAATTATTAAGAAATTTAAAATTTACTTGGGGTTGTCAGTTTGGTTGAAAAAGAAAAATTTTTTTTTTACTAAAAAGATTTTCCCTGAAATGAAAATTGAACATTTTTGTGATCTAGAGGTCTTAAAGATTAGAAATAAAATACTCATAATAGAAATTAATGATTAAATTGATTAAATAAATAGCAAAATCAATTAAAGGTCTTTTACCTTATGATTGTTAAATTGAATATTTTAATTGTTTAAAGAAAATGTTTTTTATTGAATTTTTATTTCACCCAAAAATTGTATCAATTTTTTATGTTAATAATTAGGCAATTTGTAAAAAAGGAATGTTTGTTCTAAAACTATGACCGAGGAAAGGTCCAAGGCCGACTCTCTAGAACATCGACTGGTGATTTGACCGTCAAAACGACGAGCTAATCGAGATCTCTTAGTCTGCCATGGACGTAACGCATCCATAGATTCGAATTCTAAGGCTGCTGACTCGGCCCATGGCTTAGAAAAATTACTAATTTCTTGGATAATCATCGGATTCGTTGGAGTTTTTGTTAGAAAGGTTCCTAATGATCCCCCAAAAGGTAAATTGTAACTGCAGAGAGCCAATTGTTCGCGCAAGTACCTCCAATTGTCGAAAAACTTTGAATTTTGACAATTGGGAGCGTTTTTATGGCCCAAATTGCCCCGTAAGAGGTAATTAGCACTCTTAGGGAGCTTTTTAGGGTAGAAGGCATTGTTAGGAACAATTTGAGTCCTTGCGCGAGGCTGTAGCTTTAATAGTTTTTGAGATATAGCGGTCTAATTGTCACCAATTGTCGAAAAAACATCAAAATTCAATAATTGGGCCTATTTTCACGGCCTAAATTACCTCTAAAACCCTAATTTACCTTTTTAAGGCACTTTTTATTATAAAAGGCTTTATTAAGAACAATTTGAGTCTTATTAAAAGTTAATATCATCAATTATTTTCAAGTTATAATTATCAAATTGTCCCCAATTGTCGTAAAAACACAAAAATTCAACAATTTTGCCTATTTTTAAGGCTTAAATTATTAATAAAGAACATTTATAATTACCTTTAATTCTGGCACACTCTAACAAACACGGCAAACTCTGTGCAGCAGCAGTCCTGACTCCATCGTGAAAGTAAAACTTTAGCATGGGCACCATGAGTCTCACTACCTCTTCAGCATAATCCGCGAATCCTTCTTTCAGCTCACGAGCGTAGCAAACAAGCATCTCGCAAGCTGAAGCTTTGTCTTCCAGTCCAGCTGTCTTTATTCCAAAGTTCTGCTGCTCTCCCAGTGACACAAATTGCCAGTCCAGGTCGCCTTCGACGCCTTCCATGTCTTCGTTGTCTAGCAAAGCCACTTCTGGCTTCATTGATGCTGTTCTTAATACCTAAAAATATTTATTTCAACAATTATTTATTTATAATAAAAATTTTAACATGTACATGAACATAAATTATCATAATAAAATTTTGCTTTAATAAATGACTCTGGTTAAATTGCACTGTAATTTCTTAACTATTGACTTTTTTAAAGATATAAGCTCATCCTGATGTTACACTTGTCGAGACCTTTCATTTGAGTACCCACATGCATTTTTGATATATTTTTCATATATAGATATATATATAATATATATAAATATATGAAATATATAAAAAATTGATGTGGGTACTCAAATGAAAGGTCTCGACGAGTGTAACATCATGATGAGCTTATATCTTCAAAAATGTCAATAGTTCTCAAGATACAAGGTAATTTCTTAATAACTCACCGGTCCCATGACAACAGGCAAATACTGTTCGAATTGTTTCCCCAAAATCTTGCAGAGTCTCGCCCAGGCAGAGATCAAATAACTGATCTGAGGATCATCATCAGCAAGCTCACCCTCTGCGTGGGTGGTCAGCAGCATGTCCATGACATCACTAGCATCATTAATGAACTTCTCAGTTCCTACGGCGAGTCCGATCAAACTAACGCACTCGATCGTTTTTCCTCTGAGCATTTTGTGCTCCTGCTGATTCGCGTTCTGGATTATGTACTTCAAACATGGCATCAGACGGTCGTAATAAGTCACGAATTGCTCCTCACATGTGTCAGCTACCGATGCAATTGTCGTGACCACTTGCTCAAGGACTAATTTAGTTCCTTTTTCGACCAATTCCTGGAATTTAGCTGTCAGGATGCTCTCCAGCTTGCCCATGATTGCGTCCAAGTAAGGCGTGAGGATGTTCTTCGGACAGTCTTCGCTGAAGTTTACCAAAGCTGCTCCGGCGTGAGCTTGCACTCGTGGGTTCGCGTTGTCGTCTAGGACCATCAGCAAGCCTGGGATCACTTTTTCGTGGAATTTCTGCTCAAATGTCGGGGCAAAATCTGTTGACATTTGACCTATGGCGTTGCAAGCTGCGTACCGGACTCTAGGGTGCTAAAAAATATTTATTCAATTTTTATTCCACCCAAAAATTGTATTAATTTTTTATGTTAATCAATTCAACAATTTGTTGTAAAGAAATGTTTGTTCTAAAACTATGACCGAGGAAAGGTCCAAGGCCGACTCTCTAGAACATCGACTGGTGATTTGACCGTCAAAACGACGAGCTAATCGAGATCTCTTAGTCTGCCATGGACGTAACGCATCCATAGATTCGAATTCTAAGGCTGCTGACTCGGCCCATGGCTTAGAAAAATTACTAATTTTTTGGATTATCATCGGATTCGTTGAAGTTTTTGTTATAAAGGTTCCTAATGATCCCCTAAAAGGTAAATTGTAACTGCAGAGAGCCAATTGTTCGCGCAAGTACCTCCAATTGTCGAAAAACTTTGAATTTTGACAATTGGGAGCGTTTTTATGGCCCAAATTAACCCGTAAGAGGTAATTAGCACTTTTAAGGAGCTTTTTATAGTAGAAGGCATTGTTAGGAACAATTTGAGTCTTTGCGCGAGACTGTAGCTTTAATAGTTTTTGATATATAGCAGTCTAATTGTCACCAATTGTCGAAAAAACAATAAAATTCAACAATTAGGCCTATTTTTACGACCTAATTGACTTTTCTAAGGTACTTTTTTATTATAAAAGTATCAATTGCTCTTACAGCTTGATATTGAACCTAATAAAATTTTTATACCCAAATTTAAAAATCAAAAAAACGGATTAAGTTTTAAAAATTCATAACTTTTTAGGGAAATTTTTTTCAAGGTCCTGGAGTTTTAGTTAGAAAGGTTCCTAATGATCCCCCAAAAGGTAAATTGTAACTACAAAGAGCCAATTGTTCGCGCAAGTACCTCCAATTGTCGAAAAACTTTGAATTTTGACAATTGGGACCGTTTTTATGGCCCAAATTGACCCGTAAGAGGTAATTAGCACTTTTAAGGAGCTTTTTATAGTAGAAGGCATTGTTAGGAACAATTTGAGTCCTTGCGCGAGGCTGTAGCTTTAATAGTTTTTGATATATAGCAGTATAATTGTCCCCAATTGTCGAAAAAACGCTAAAATTTAACAATTGGAGCTATTTTTAGGGCCTAACTTACTTCCAAAGCATCAATAAGGGATTTTAAAGAGCTTTTTATGATTGAAGGCATTATTAGAAACAATTTGAGTCATATTTGAAGTAAATATCATCAACAATTTTCAAGTTATCATTATCTAATTGTCCCCAATTGTCGTAAAAACGCTAAAATTCAACTATTAGGCCTATTTTTAAGGCTTAAATTACTTTTAAAGTTAAAATCGTCAATAGTTTTCAAGTTATAATCATCTAATTGTCCCCAATCACCTATGAAACCCTAATTTACACTTCTAAGGTACTTTTTATCATAAAAGATATTATTAAGAACAATTTGCGTCTCATTTAAAGTTAAAAACATCAATAATTTTCAAGTTACAATGATCTAATTGTCCCCAATTGTCCAAAAAACACTAAAAATTCAACAATTGGGCGTATTTAAAGCATCAATATTCAATTTCCAGGTGATTTTTACGAATGAAGGCATGGTTAGGAACAATTTTAGTCAATAACATATATAATAAAATAATTTAAAGATCAAAACTTACCGGATCCTGAAGATACTGAACAATCCCCTCCATAATCTGCGACAAAATGGCCTCCATCTGTTTATGACAACCCTCTCCAACGGCGGAAATGGCCATGAGAGCAGCATGCCGGTACTTCCAGTCGGAGTTTGAGAGCATCCGTGGAATATTGTCAACAATTTGGGGCAACATGGTCTTGCCACCGAGCCCGCAAGACAATCTATCAAGCGCGCTTTCAGCGACAACATTGTTGCAGTCATTGTCTTCTTCAATTATTTCGTCACTGAAGCTCCACTCGTCGTCATCTTCCAAGTCTGTCATCATCTCGAGGACCAGAGGGACCAGGGCGACGATATACTTGCCCCCGACCTTGCGCACCATCGCCGGGGCAGTTTCTGACAAAGTCACCAGGACTTCCAATGAAAGCTGCCTCCAACTGTCGCCCATGTCCTTGTTTGAGAATATCTTCATGCACATCTCCATTATCGTCTCCAGCTGGTTCCTCAAAAACTTCGGGGTCGTCTCTGCCAGGTCGATCAGTACCTTCAGCAGTGCTTCGTCTTCTTGCTTTTCCACTGATTGAGCTGTCACTTGCACCAATGCCGGTAATAATTCCGCGAATTGCTTCTGGATTGATGTTTCTTTGTCGTGGAGAATTATAAAGGCCCCAATTGCTCTCACAGCTTGATATTGGACCTGAAAAAATTTTTTATACCAAAATTTTTAAGATCAAAAAAATAAATCAAATTTTAAAAATTCATAATTTTTCAAGGAAATTTTTTTCACGGTGGAGTTTTAGTTAGAAAGGTTCCTAATGATGCCCTAAAAGATAAATTGTAACTGCAGAGAGCCAATTGTTGGCGCAAGAATCTCCAATTGTCGAATAACTTTGAATTTTGACAATTGGGAGCGTTTTTATGGCCCAAATTGCCCCGTAAGAGGTAATTGGCACTTTTAAGGAGCTTTTTATGGTAGAAGGCATTGTTAGGAACAATTTGAGTCCTTGCGCGAGTCTGTAGCTTTAATAGTTTTCGAGATATAGCGGTCTAATTGTCACCAATTGTCAAAAAAACACTAAAATTCAACAATTGGGCCTATATTTACGACCTAAATTCCCCCTAAATTACTTTTCTAAGGTACTTTTTATTTTAAAAGTACCAATTGCTCTTACAGCTTGATATTGGACCTAAAAAAATTTTTTTTTACCAAAATTTTCAAGATCAAAAAAATAAATCAAATTTTAAAAATTCATAACTTTTCAAGGAAATTTTTTTTCACGGTGGAGTTTTAGTTAGAAAGGTTCCTAATAATCCCCTAAAAGGTAAATCATAACTGCAGAAAGCCAATTGTTCGCGCAAGTACCTCCAATTGTCGAAAAACTTTGAATTTTGACAATTGGGATCGTTTTTATGGCCTAAATTGCCCCGTAAGAGGTAATTAGCACTTTTAAGGAGCGTTTTATGGTAGAGGACATCATCAGGAATAATTTGAGTACTTGCGCGAGGCTGCATCTTTGATAGTTTTTGAGATATAGCGGTCTAATTGTCACCAATTGTCGATAAAACAACGAAATTCAACAATTGGGCCTATTTTCACGACCTAAATTAGCCCTGAAGCCCTAATTCACTCTTCTAAGGCACTACTTATTGTAAAAGGCATTATTAGGAACAATTTGAGTCTTATTTAAAGTTATATCATCAATTATTTTCAAGTTTTAATTATAATTAAAAAATTCAACAATTAGATCTTTTTTGACGGTTTGAACTAATTGTCACTAAGGGTCGTGTGAGGAGTCATTTTAAAGCTCAGAATATAAGCTACAACTTTTAGAAGAAAATTTTGTTTTTTAATTAATTTTTAATAGGAAATTTTAAATTGTAAGCTCCGTATCTGTCTATAAATTATTTCTTGACAATTTACAGTCATCGTAAAGCTTTTAATTTTTTTTTTTTTTTTTTTTTAGGAAGATTTTGTGTCGAAAAATTAAAACTTTTCATTTTTGGAGTATCAATTCTTCCATTTTTAATAATTAAATTTTTTTTTTTGTTTAATTACCTCGTAATTAGCCGTGTCCATTACCGATTGTTGTAACATTTGTTTGATTAAAGTCAAATAATTGGTCTGTTGGCTGCCAAATACTCCCGGTACGGATCTAAAGGATAATTAATTAATTAATTATAAGAAAAAATTGAGTGATTAATTTGTTAATTAAATTTTAGATAATTACGTGAATATTCTGAGCGCGCTTTCTTTTAAAGCTGGCATCGGACTGTTGGCGCACTGGAATAAAAAGTTCAAAAATTCCGGCCATTGATTATTGCCGTCGTCGTCAACTAAATTTCTAGCGACCTCTGCAACTACTTCGCAGATTTTTCTTCTGATTGTTTCTGATTGCTCGTTTTGGATTGATAAAAGTAGCTGCTTTTTTAATTCATCCTGGGCTTCGGGTGGGAGCTAAAAAAAAATTTTTTTATGTTAATAAATATTTATAGATTTAAAAAAATTTATTTTTTATTTAATTTTTAATTAAATTCATAATAATAATTAAAAAATTATTGAAAATTACTTCTGAAATAAAATTTTTTTTTAAATATCGAAAAATAATTGTGAGAAAAAATATAATTCTTAAAATAATTAGAAAATATATTATTAAAAAATATTAAATAAAATAATAGAATCTAATTTTGATTAAAAATTGTCAATAATTTTTAAAAATAAAATTATGAAATATAATTTTTAGAAAAGTTAATAAGTATAATTTTAAAAAATTGTAAAATTTATTAAAAATGATAATAAAATCTAATTTATAAAAAAAACTATAAATGATCATTAAAAATAATTTTGATAAAAATTTTAATAAATAATTATAGAATATTATTTTTAGAAAAATTATAAAATACTAGTAACTTTGCAGTCACTATGTGACTGCCATGATGTGAACTATAAAAAAAATGAAATTTTGCTTTATTAAATAATCAATTTTGTTAAATTGCAGTGTACTTTCTTAAATATTGACGTTTTTAAAGATATAAGCTCATCCCGATGTTATACTTATCAAGAGCTTTCATTTGAGTACCCACATGCATTTTTGATATATTTTTCATATATACATATATGTCATATATATATAAATATATGAAATATATGAAAAATTAATGTGGGTACTCAAATGAAAGGTCTCGATAAATGTTCAATAGTTCACAAGATACAAGGTAATTTCTTAATTATGTATCTAGAGTCAATGACTATCCTGAAAAAAAATTTTTCTCACTCTCTTAATAATAATGATAATATTAAAAAAAATTATACAATATAATTTTTTAATTATTAAATCAGTCAAAAAAAATTATTCGATAAAATTTTAAAGAAAATCATCATTGAGTTTAAAAAATAATTACAAGAAAAATGATAAAATTCAATTTTTAAAAAATTATAAAATTTGTCAAAAAAAAATTGTACAATTTTGATTTTAGAAAAAAATCATAATATAATTTAAAAAAAAATTATAAAATATAATTTTTTAATTAATAAATGTCAAAAAAATTATAAATTACAATTTAAAAAAAAAAAAAAAAATTTAATGACGGCGTGGTAAAAAAAAAATGAATCATACCTGGGGATAAAAATCCATAAATTCTGACGAGAAAAGCCGTCGTAGTAAAACAGCAGCCATGGCGCGAATTTCCTCGGCGAGGTGCCCCGTGCATATTGAATTAAGGAGCCAGGTAACCTTACTCTGTATAGGCAAATTTTTGTAGGCTTCCTAAAAACATAAAAAACTTTTAAATAAACAAAATCCTCCCGCCAAAAAAATTCCAACCTCAAAAAACTCGAAAATTCACTTTACAGTAATTAAAAAAAAAAAAACTTTTTGTAAAAAATCAACAATTAAATCCGAATAAAATTGAATCACTCGCGGAGAATAAATATTGAGCACGCGGAATCCGCGACCATGCGGGTGCTCGATCAGTTTCAGAGTAATTAAATATTTATCGGGTAGTTGTTTAACTTAAGAGCTTAACTTTTTTGAGTGGAATTAAAAAATATTCAAATTTGTCTAATTACCTCGGCCTGGGTACGGACGTCATTGTCGGTACTTAGGAGGGTGCTTAGCAGTTGATTGAATTGCTCGTGGTCAGCCGCCATGTCGCCGAAATCTAAAATGAGGGATCGTGGCTCGAGCTCTGTCCAACTTTGCTCTTCTCCTCTTCGCTGCTAACAGTTCTTTCTTTTCACCGTTTTTCTTGCTAGAAAGTTCTCAAGGTCACGGCAGATGGCGCTCATTTAATTTGAATTTGGTTTGAGCGACGGCCGCTAGATGGCGGGAGATTAAAAAAACGGCGGGAAATTTTTGAAATTTAAATTTTTCTTAAAAAATTTTTATTTTTTACACCTGAATTTTTTAAGTAAAATTTCTATTAAAAATTTTGAATTTTCAACTCCTATTATAATTTTAAAGTAAAATTTTAATTTTAAATTATTATTATATAAAAATTTTAATTTTTAAAGTGTCATTTTTAATTTTAAATTAAAATTCTTAAATTTTTATATTCAAAATTTGAATTTTTAAATTAGAGTTTTTGTTTTTAAAATTTATAATTGAAAATTTTCAGTGATTTTTAGATTTATGATTTAAAGGAATTTTAATATTTAAAATTTATTCAAACTCTTAAAGAGTTTTTATTAAAATTTTGTTTCAATTACATAATACAAAAATATTGGTTGATTTTCTTAAAAAAAAAAAAAGTATTTAAAATTTTTTTCTTCTGTTTTTGACTAAGTGATCTTAAGAGACACTCTAAGCTTCAAAATAATGGATTAATTTAATTTTTACCTCAAATATTTAATAAATTTTTTAACGTCTCCAAAAAAATTCAAAAAACTGCATTTTTCACTAAAAAGTCTCAAAAATAATTATTTAAAAATTTTTTTTGATGTCTTCGGCTATAGGAACTTAATCTAGACACTTTAAGCTTCAAAAGAATGTATTAATTTAATTTTTAACTCAAATATTTAATAAAGTTTTCAACGTCTCAAAAAAAAACTCGAAAAAAATTCAAAAAACTGCATTTTTCACTAAAAAGTCTCAAAAATAATTATTTAAAAAGATTTTTTCATGTCTTTGGCTATAGGAACTTAATCTAGACACTTTAAGCTTCAAAAGAATGTATTAATTTAATTTTTAACTCAAATATTTAATAAAGTTTTCAACGTCTCGAAAAAAACTCGAAAAAAAATTCAAAAAACTGCATTTTTCACTAAAAAGTCTCAAAAATAATTATTTAAAAAAAATTTTTTCATGTCTTCGGCTATGGGATCTTAATCTAGACACTCTAAGCTTCAAAAAGACGTATCACTTTTATTTTTTACCGAAATATTTAATAAAATTTCCTACGCCCCGAATTTAGAACTGAAAAATCTCTCGACTGTTTTTTGTTTCTGCCTTTTATTTTTTATTTATTTTTTATAACCTCTACTGTCATAATTAAATGACAATTATTCACAATCATTATTAACCTTGTTAATTAATAAATAAATTATAAATTTTATATTTTATTAATGGATTTAGCGGTGCATAGATTTCTTGATCTAACAATCGGTAATATTTTTGGAAAAGATATTACTTGCAGAGAGTGCCCCGAACCTTGTGATTATTATCAACCTGGCGTTTTAGTTGTAATTGGAAGAACAGCAATTAATGTAAGTTACTAATTATTAATTAATTAATTAACAATTTACAATTTAATAAAAATATTTATTTTTTTTCTTTTAATTTTTTTTATATGTAAAAAAAAAAAAATTAATTATATATTAAAATTGTTTTTTTAAATTTAAAATAAAATTTCAATCGATTAATCGAATTTTTTCTAATCGATATCTCGAATTTTTAACAAATCGATTTTTCGATTGTCGATTGAGTAAAATTTGACAAATTTGACTTTGACGAACGAATGACAGGTTTCTGTTATAAATAAAAAAATTTCATTAACATATAATGATTAATTAATTAAATAAATAAATAAAATTAATTATTTTTTAAAATTCAGAAATTAATTTAGTAAAAATAAAAATAAAATTGTATATTTAAATTTGTTTGAGTTATTTTGAAGATGCAAGGTCTCAAGGTAAGGTTATGTTTTTTTTTTTTTTATTTAATTAATTTGAATTAATTAAAAATTTATTAATGTAAAATTTTATTTTTCAAGTTATTTAAAAAATTTTTACTACCTGGAGGATTATGCGGAGCAGTTCCAATAATTAGGCCAGAACCTACGCCTCCGGATGCACCCGTACATTGCAGCAACGACGGATCTGTACCGAGAATAATTAGGCCGTCGGAATTACCGATTTATGTTCATCATGAGCAAAAAAAAATTGAACCTGAGATACGGTAAAACAAGTAATTCTTTTTTTATTAATTTTTAATTAATTACTTTAATTGTTTTTTTAATAAATACTTTTTTTTTTTTAATTTTTGACAAGTAGAAATTTTTTTTTTTATTAAAATATGAAAAATTCCCAATTTTTATGGAAGTAAATTAAAAAGAAATTTTTTATTAATTATATTGGTTGAAAAAAAAAAAATTATTCATAATTTTTTTAATAAAACTAAGATATTTGTCAATTTTTATGAATTAAATATTTTTAATTAAAGAATCTAAAATTTGAAAGTTATTTTTTGTAATAATTTATGAAAAATTTCGAATAAAAAATTATAAACAAAAAAAAATACATAAATTATTAATAATATTTAAAATAAAATTAGTAATTAATTTATTAATTTTTTAGTGATCCAAATAGTATTCGATCGCAAATAGAAGACGGATTTGGGACAATAAGAAAAACATTTTCCGGTGTTTCGGATCAGTATCAGATGGTCCATGATAAAATTAGCCATTTTTACAACACAGGTCTTGCTCATAGCAAAGGTAATTATAAAATTTCCTTCTTTAATTAAACTAATTATTAAAATCCCGAAAAACTTAAAAAAAAAACTTATTTTTTCACTTAAAAATTTTAAAAATAATTATTTAAAAAATTTTTTTTTATGTCTTCGGCTATGAGATCTTAATCTAGATACTCTAAGCTTCAAAATTATGCATTTATTTTATTTTTTACTAAAATGTTTAACCAAATTTTCTGCGCCCCCAAAAAAATCAAAAAAACTGCATTTTTTTCCAAAAAAGTCTAAAAAAAAATTATTAAAAATTTTTTTTTCATGTCTTCGGCCATGGGATCTTAATCTAGACATTCTAAGCTTCAAAATAATGTATTAATTTAATTTTTTACTCAAATATTTAATAAACTTTTCAACGTCTCCCGAAAAACTCCAATAAAACTAAAAAAACTGCATTTTTTCTTAAAAAGTCTAAAAAATAATTATTAAAAATTTTTTTTTTTGTCTTCGGCTATAGGATCTTAGTATAGACACTCTAAGCTTCAAAATTATATATCAAATTTATTTTTTATTAAAATATTTAACCAAATTTTCTACGCCCCCAAAAAAATCCAAAAAACTGCATTTTTTTCACTAAAAACCCGAAAAAAAATTATTTAAAATTTTTTTTTTATATCTTCGGCTATGGGATCTTAATCTAGGCACTTTAAGCTTTAAAATAATGTATTTCTTTTATTTTTTACTCAAATTTTTAACCAAATTTTCTACGCCCCCAACAAAAAAGTTCCAAAAAATTTTTTTGATAAATTAATTTTAATTAATTTAATTTAATTAATTTTCTACTAAAAAATATTAATTAATTAATAACAATAATAATATTAATAAAGAATTGACTAATAAAAAAAATAAAAAATTTTTTTTAATTAAATAAAATTTTTTTGTTAAGGATCAATTGATTACTTGCACCAAGAAGAAAATATTCTCCCCCGGATCGGTACAATCTTAGGCGGAGGACTAGTTGGATTTTTATTCGGTATCCGCGGAGGAAGATTCAAGCGTTTTATTTACATGTCAACTGGTGCTGGATCAATGGCTGCTATTTGCTACCCGGATTTAGCAAAAGACACTTTAAATTCTAGCAAACATTACATCAACATTGGCTATAATTTTATTTACGGCGGTAATTTATTATTTAATAAATTTATTTTTAATCCTTAAAATTATTTATTAAATAAATTTAAATAAATTCAGTAAAACCAGGAGACGCGAACCAAAAAGAAATAAAGTGGCCGGAATTACCGAGTATTAAATTACCGGATAATTTCAATGACTTCCTGGTGTTGGTTAAAGACACCGGGTGTAGCGTTGTCACTTCTATCGGTTCATTAACTGGAGATTTAATTAAATCCGATGAACCGAGTCAAAAAGAGGTAAAGGAATTTACAAATTAACCTTTTTAATGATCCTGGTTCCTTAAATTTCCTTTACCTTTTTTATCCTAAAAAAAAAATCCCGAAATCCTAATACATTTTTTTTATATTTTAAAAACTAATGCTCCGATTTCAACCAAATAATTTTTTTTTAATTCTCCAGCTCAATTTTTATCAAAAAGGTCTTCGATATTTTTGATCCGACCATTATTTTCCAAGTTATAATGAATTTTCAAACTCATCTATAATGTCATCAATTTCCAATTTTTTATTGTATTTTATAATTAATTTGTTTTTTTTATTTAGAACAAACCTGTGGAAGCAACAAAAGAAGCAAAAAATAAATAGACTCAAGGATTATAAAAATTTTTTTTTTTTAAAAAAAATTTTTCAGCTTGTAGATAAATTATTTACCGTCTTATTAAAATTATACAATTGATACTGTAAAAATAAATCAAGTTTCAAGTGAAAGAATTTTTTATTTTTTTTTTTTTTACTACAGATATCACTGAGTATAATCTGGGATGATATCCAGTGTCATCTTGTTTTTCTGTGTATTATTATTATTATTATTATTATTATTATTATTATTATTCGTAATAATAATAATAATAATAATAACATTAATAATAATCCCATAATAAAATTGAGATGAAATGTATGTGAAACCAATTTATTCGTGATGTGATTGGTCGGAAATAAATATTCTCATTCTGATTGGTTGAAAGTGAATATAATATACCTAAACGACACATAAATATATCATGCCAATAAATATGACGCGCGCGCTTGCGCGCGAAAATTAAATTCTAGTCCTAATATAAAATTGAGATGAAATATATGTGGCATCAAACTATTCGTAACGTGATTGGTCGAATATATCATAAGCATGAAAATATATGCAAACTCTATAGTCAAGGCGCGCGCTTGCGCGCGTAAATTCAATTCTAGTAACAATAATAATTGGATTTTCTGAATTCATAATAAAAATTTTTTATTTGAAAGTTTTAAAAAAAATTGTTAGATGGCAGCAGTGTAAAAATTCTACAGTAGTCAAATTAAATTTCTACTTTAGCGACCTCGCTTTAATAGGTTAGTAAGAAATGTGATTCTTTATTGTGCAGTGTTTACATTTTTTAATTTTGCGGAATAATAAGTTTATAAAAATGTTTATTATTATAAAAGTACTGTCATAGTTTAAAAACTCGCTATTTATTTATTAAAAATAATTAATGGTAAATTTATCTCCGATGACATCGAAGATTTAACAAGTTTGATAAACTTAACCTCTTTTTATTTTTTTCTAAAACAATATTATAAATAAAAAATGATTAAAATGAAGGTGATCAATTTTAATACAGTAAATTTTGTTGAAAAAGTTAAAGCATTAAAATGGAATTATTATTATTATTATTATTATAGAAAATTATCTACAGAAGCAAGTTCTGTATTATTGACAGAAAAAACCGCGGAAAATTCAAATATTAATTTAAATTTAAAAAGTGAAAATAAATTAAAAATTGAAAATGAAGATGATTATTACTTTGAAAATGTACAGAAAAATTTGAATTTAAATAATAACCCGCTAAAAAATTTCAAAAATAAAGCGCGGGAAAATTTAAATTTAAAAATTGAAACGCGGGAAAATTTAAATAATTCAAAAATTGAAGCGCGGGAAGATTTAAATTTAAAAATTAAAGCGCGGGAAAATTTAAAAATTAAAACGCGGGAAAATTTAAATTTAAAAAAACAAAACCTTAAATCAGGACCAAACTTATCTGATTTTATAACAAATACAGTGTTAAAATATTCTAATGAAACTGAAATAGCACCGGAAGAGGCTCACCCTTACCTACCATCGCTAAATGCATACGGAAAAAAAGTATTTTTCGACGTGTATGGCTGCCAAATGAACGTAAGTGACACGGAAATAATTTACTCAGTTTTAAAGTCAGCGGGTTACGAGCGCACTCTAACTTTAGAAGAAGCGGACGTGATTCTGGTAGTGACTTGCGCGATAAGAGATGGCGCTGAGCAGAAAGTCTGGGGGCGCTTAGCGTCTCTGAACAACTTGCGACGTCGACGCCATTTGATGGGCAGTCCGCCATTACGCGTCGGGTTGCTAGGGTGCATGGCGGAGCGGTTGAAGAATAAGATCCTGGAAGAGAGCAAGTACGTAGACTTAGTTGCGGGACCCGACGCGTACAGAGACCTGCCAAGGCTGCTGTCAGTCACGGAGGAAAACCAGGCGGCCATTAATGTTGCTCTGAGTTTCGACGAAACTTACGCGGACATAAATCCCGTGAGGCTCAACGGAGACTCCAAGTCCGCTTTTGTGACGATTATGAGGGGCTGTGATAACATGTGCACTTACTGCATTGTTCCTTTTGTCCGCGGCCGCGAGAGGTCCAGGCCAATTAAGAGTATTCTCGACGAAGTGCGACATCTCGCGGATTCTGGAGTGAAGGAAGTTACGCTCCTTGGGCAGAATGTCAATAGCTACAGAGATCTCTCGGAAGAAATGTTTCCGGTGCAGGAGAAGAAAAGCACTGAATTGGCGAAAGGATTTAAGACGGTTTACAAGAATAAGATCGGAGGAAGGAGGTTCGCGGATTTGCTGGAAAAAGTTGCGGAAATAGACCCGGAGATGAGGATTAGGTAAGAAATCTATGATTTTAATACTTCTAAGTTTTAGACCCGATTTTAGGATTGTTCCTGTGGTGGAACTCAATTTTTTAATAGATTATTTGATTATTTTAATCAATTGTACTTAAGGTTCACCTCGCCGCATCCAAAGGATTTTCCCGACGAAGTCCTGCATCTAATTTCCACCAAACCGAACATATGCAAGCAGATTCACCTACCGGCGCAATCAGGCAACTCCGCAGTATTAGAGCGCATGCGCCGTGGGTACACCCGAGAATCTTACCTCGAGCTAGTAAATCACATCCGCGAATTAATCCCGGATATTCAGCTGTCCAGTGACTTTATCGCGGGCTTTTGCGGAGAAACTGACGCGGAATTCGAGGACACTCTTACATTAATGGAGAAAGTGCAGTACCACGTAGCGTACTTGTTCCAGTACAGCATGAGAGAAAAAACTACCGCCCACAGACGCTTCCAAGATGACGTACCACCGGAAGTTAAGCTTGAAAGAATGCAGCGTATGGCCAATTTGTTTCGAGCTCAAGCTGAAAAGCTCAACAGTCAATTAATAGGCACGCGACAGCTTGTTTTGATCGAAGGGGTGAGTTTTCATTTTCTTTCGACTGTAACTCCCAAAATTGGGGGAAATTTTGGAAAATTTTCAATGGAGGTGGTCCAGAATTTTCCCGGCTACAATTTTGGTCCTAAGGTTAATCGACTTAAGACCGATAGTTTGTGAGATATAGCCGGATTAATCACAGTCGGGGCAAATTTATACTTTTTTGATTAATTGGCTATATCTCCGAAACTATCAAAGCTAGAAAAATTTTTATTGATTACAATATTGTTCCTAGAGAAATTTTCTAACAGGTCTCAAGAAGAAAATTCTCAATATCGCTTAAAATATCACTGAAACAATGAAAAATAAAAATTTTCTCGCCAAAAAACGTATTTTTAATGATTAATTGATTAATGGAAACTATATCTTGGAAACTATTGGAGCTAGGAAAATTTTTATTGATTACAATATTGTTCCTAAGGAAATTTTCTATCCAAATTCTTAATCTTATGCTTAAAAATCTCAACAAGGACCCCAAAAAATTCAATTTTCTTTATTAGGTCTCTCGAAGATCGGAATCAACTCTCCAAGGCCGCACTGATGGCAACACCAGAGTCCTAATTCCCAACGTAGAAATACCAGACGGCTCTGTAAATCGTCCAATAAGCGCCGGGGACTACGTAGTGGTGGGAATCAGCACCTCAAACTCAAACTCGTTAACTGGGGTCCCGGTTTCTCATTCGTCAATTTCTGAATTTGATAAAAGTAGTAGATAAATGTATATAAATTAAATACAATAAAGTTTCGATTGATATTTTGTTATTTTTATTTAAGACTAAAACCTTATCTCTATTTAAAAATTAATTGAAAAAAATACGACGCTGTTTAGCTCTTAATCTTTATTAGAATTTAATAGCCATCCAGAATAAGCTTAATAATAATGATAGGTCTTTTATAAAATAACTCAATTAGAACTGTAGAATTTTCATGTTAGTTCTGTTGAAGAGTCAGATAAGATTCTTTAATAGAAAAATCCCACGTCAGAACGCTTCAATCATCTTAGTAAGCATATTGCATTGATTTTTAGTGTCAATGCTGAAGATAAATCTGAGATACTAACAGACTGTGTGCCCTTTGGAGAAATTGTAAGTAAAATTATTTTTAGTCCTTGTTTTAATATTAAATTATTAAATTCTAGTTTTTTGACGCGGGGGCGCTGAAAAGTTTGAGAAATAATTTTTTTTAAGGAAAAAATTGTAGTGAGTTTTAAAACTGAGACTCTGAGGATTATAAAAATCCCGGCGAAGACGTAATAATTATTAATTTACTAATTTTAATCGAGCAATTAAGTTTAAAAATTTTTTTCCTTAAAAAATAATGAGTTTTATTCTTTGATAAGTTATATTAAATAAATTATTTATTTTAGAGCGAAATTTTTGGGACAAAATTGTAGCTATAAGTGTCCTTTTTAAAAGTAATTTTTATTAGTGCCTTAATTTTAATTAGGAAAAATGTTACGAATTTTTAAATATTAAAATAAAGGAAAATTTACGGAAAAAACTAGTTTTTTGACCTGGGGGCGCTGAAAAGTTTGCGAAAAAAATTTTTTTTTTCAAATAATTGCAGAGGGTCTTAAAGCTGAGATTCTGAGGATTATAAAAATCCCGGTGAAGACATGAAAATAATTAGTTGTATAATTTTAATTCCCAGATAAAGTTTTAAAAAATAATTATCATGATTATTTTTAAAGATTTTCATAATATTATATTTATATTCTACTTTAATAAATTATCATAAGATACGTAACAACTTTTATTAACCCAATTATTAATAATAAACGCAACTATAGATAAAACGACTTTTAGTATCTAGTAATTAGCGAGCAATAGCAATATTATATCAATTATTTCCTCAACTATCTCAACATACCATCTAAAATAATTAATTCTCCGTGTAGACTCGACTAAAAAAACAATTGCAATTCCGGAGGGTTTAATTACATTATTAAAGGTACTTTCTGTGAACTAAAACAAACTCTCCCAAAAAATGACATTTGTTTAATAGCTAATTTTTAATTAATCGACTAATAATTCCTATTTTTTTTTATTACTAATTTAAAATTTACAGAAATTTTTAATGGTAATTATTTAAATAATAAATTGTCAAGTTAAAATAACTAAATATTCATGGAATGCTTCTTTAAGAAGCAAGCTCAAATAATTAGTTAAATTAATTAATTGCAGTGCCATCTGCATCGTCCCTGCTGCGGCAATTATAAGTGCGACCTGACGGATACTTTCGGAAGATTCGAGTGCCAGGAGAAAGTAAAATTAGGCGACACATGCAAGTACACCGCCGACTGCGTCGACATCTTGCACTCTGTCTGCACGAAAAAAAAGTGTCAATGCAGACAAAGTAACGTCAGAGTTAGCGACCACGCCTGCGCGCCGCTCTTGAATACCTATTGTTGGAAAAACGAGACCTGCGCGCCGGAGAATTCACTGTGCATTGACAATGAGTGTCGATGCAAAGACGGATTTGTAGCGGAGGACGACGAGTGTCTGCCAGGTGAGTCACACTTAACTTTGCGAGACACTAGAGTCATTAATCTGTTTTTGCAGTTGTAATTGGATCGAAATGTAGTGACGATGCAGCGTGCGCAAGTGTCAAATTCGCGAGGTGCTCGAGGAGAAAAATTTGCGTTTGTTCAGGCGACACTATTGCGACGAGTAGCAGATTGTGCTCAGTGGCTCTGGGAGAAACCTGCGACTCTAATCGAGATTGTGGCGTCGCTGATTCTTGGTGTGATAACAATAAGTGTCAATGCAGGGTTCAATATGTTGCCAACTCTAAAATCGAATGTAGACTCCGTAAGTTTGGTTTTTTCAATCTGTTTAGTCCATTTATACAAAATAGTACCAGTTGCATTGACATTAATTGACGATGCAGTTAATTTTTTAATATCTAACTTAGTAAATAACAATTTTCAAGCCAAATAGAACAAATTTTCATTGCATTGACGCTAAAAGTCAGTACACTGACGTTGAATAACGATGAAGTTATATTTTATCGCAATAATTGATTATAAATGTTGCATTGATCTGAAGCGTCAATACAGCAGATAAAAGTAACTTTTAATTGTTCCCGCTTTAGCTCACTTGGGAATGTCGTGCGAGAAATCGGAAGAGTGCAACGCTCACATCATTAACTCAATCTGCTTTGATAAAACATGTTCATGCAACGATCCTTACACAGTTCACGACGAAAATACGTGCGTGGCAACGAGAATCTTGTACTGTAAAGAAGATAATGAGTGCGTAGAAATGAATGGTGCCTGCATTGGCGGTCGATGTCGATGCAGCGCCAATTACGTTAAGTGGGAGTCAAAATGTCTGCCAAGTAAGAACCTTAGGAATAATATTTAGATAATTTTGTCCAAATTTTAAAAACATTTTTAATGTAGCAAAATTGGCGGGACGATGCAGCACAAATTCAGACTGCGCTGCAGTGAAATTCGCGGTGTGTGTAAAAGGAGAATGCGCTTGTCCTATCGGACTCCTCACTGTCAATGCAACAACCTGCGGAAAAGCTCTTGGTAAAAGCTGCAATGTCAATATAGATTGTGCCGTCAGATTCTCTAATTGTTTAGAAAAAAAGTGTCAATGCAATCACGGCTACATACAATCTTCCGAGAGTCAATGCATTGCAAGTGAGTAACAATAATTCTATCCGATCGAATTAAATTATAATCTTACTTGAAAATAATTATAGCGGATCTAGGGATGAATTGCTTTGACGAAAGCGATTGCAATCTGATCACAAACGCGCGATGCTTTGAGAATCAATGCAGTTGCACGGAGGACCATATTGAAATGAATGTATTCACATGCGCTCCGTTACTCAACGCCACCTGCACAGAAGACCATGAGTGCGCTCCCAAGAACTCGGTCTGCATTGATCATAAGTGTCAATGTGAGTTCAGTTACTTCCCGAAGTCCAACTACGAATGTGTCTTAAGTAAGTCTTAGACCTCAGCTAAGATTTTCTGCTAATTTGGTTGCTATTAGTAGACCTGGAACGGCGATGCAGAATTGACAAGGACTGCATAAACATTCGCTTCGCAAAATGTTCTGACGCTGGAAAATGCATCTGCCTTGAGAATTTCGTGCTAACTAGCCCAACAACTTGTTCGCCAACTTTGGGAGGTTACTGCGCAAGCAAGAGCGAGTGTTTTACTGTCAATGCAGAGTGTTCCAGGAATCAATGTCACTGTTCCCAAGGATACACGCAGCACTCTGATGACCTCTGCTTACCTGGTAAGTTTGTGAGACTGACCAATATTGTGCATTGACACTCGAAACACCGGCGCATTGACTCTGAGTGACGATACAGTAGAATTCTACCTCACCTGGTTCAGCGAATAACAATTCCCGGTTGGGAATTGATAATTTTCTGAGCGAATCCTTGCAGTGTTCCTGGGTCAGAAGTGCGACATTGACAAAGATTGTGATAAAATATCAAACGCTGAGTGTTCTCGCAGAAGATGTCAATGCAGAGAAGGGTACACAAAGTTCGACCGCCAGGTATGCTTGCCTCTGATTGGCACGCGCTGCACGGAACACAAAGAGTGCGCTGTCTACAATTCTAATTGCGTTGACAATACGTGTCAATGCTTGGAGACTTTCGTTCCGCAGACTCAGTCCGAGTGTATGTCGAGTAAGTACTTAATTTGTCGATTACATCAATTGCATCGTCACTTATTCTTGATACTTTCAGCTGGCATTGACGTTTATTGCCTCAAGGACCGTGACTGCGAATTAATAAATACGCATTGTTCGAGGTTTCAATTCTGCGTTTGCAATCAAAATTTTATCTCGATAGACAATATGACATGTGTTCCAACCCTCGGAACTTATTGCTCGGAAAGCGTGACCTGCGCAACTCCTAATTCTGAGTGCATTGACTATAAGTGTCAATGCAGCCCGAATTACGTTCAAGGGCATTACAATGATTGTTCCTCAAGTTAGTATGCAATTTATCCTATTCATTTTTAAGGCAAGTGAAAATTGTGTCCTACATTGACGCTCAGTGTCAATGCAGTCACGTTTCTTCGGCAAATTCCTAAAAAATTCCTTTTCAGATTTATTAGGCAGGTCGTGTCAAGTGAATTATGATTGTCAATACATACCCAATGCACTATGCATTGACAAGATTTGTGTGTGCAAGCCCGATACATTTGCATTGACCCCGTCAGCCTGTACCCACTTGTTGAACACCAATTGCTCGTCTTCCACCGATTGCGGTGTCGATGCGTCCCACTGCTTTGAGAATAAGTGTCAATGCAAGCCTGATTGGGCGGCACTCACTGATATGATGTGTGTAAGACGTAAGTACAGCCTGTTTTTATTCGTCAGTTGTGAAAAAAGCTACACAAAATTGTTCTGCAGGTTCTGAGCTGTATCATTGTGACAATGCAATTGATTGTGGCGAGCCCTGGCACTCAAAGTGTTCCCAGAATAACTGTGTCTGTAACGCAAATCATATTGCTCTTAATACACTGACTTGCTTGCCAGTTCTGGACGGAAACTGCTGGAGAGATGATCAATGCATGACGGAAAATTCTCACTGCCATGACTTTAGGTGTCAATGCAAGCCCGGCTTGGTTTCTGTGGCTATAAACATGTGTATCGCGACTTGAGAATAATTTTATTGGTTGTCTTTAGATGTAAAATTTAATAAAAGTAATGAAAAAATTGATTGACTTTTTTTTACTTCCGGAAAAATGGAAAATATAGTGATTTTTCTTCGGAAAATTAGGAAAATTATTACTAGGTTGAATAGGTAATTTTCCTAGGTACAATTTTGGTCCTGAGGTTAATCATCGTAGGACCGAAGGTTTCTGAGATACAGCCGCATTAATCATGATCGGGTAAAATTGATACTTTTTTGATTAACAGGCTGTATCTCCAGAACTAATGGAGTTACAAAAACTTTCACTGATTTTAATATTGTTCTTTGGAAAATTTCCTAACAGATATAAGTGAGAAAAATTAAAATATCGATTAAAACATTATTGGAATAATAAAAAGAGGAATTACTGTTAAAAAAGAACTTTCAGAAGTCGATAAGATAAGAGTTTCTCGAAAATAATCAAAGCAATAAAATTTAATAATCTTTAAAAGTAAAGTCGGATATCAGTGACATCAAATTTATTTTTGTATATTCATTATCAACTAACAAAGGAGCTATCAAAAATTTATTTTAAAACGAGTTTAATGATCACAATAATCTCTATTTAAAACAGCTTTAGTAAAGCCGTGAATAGTTTTAGCTAGTTAGTACGAGAACTTGTAGCAGTATAAAACAAGGTAACATTTGATTTTTAAAATGTCACATAAGATTGCTTTGATCTTCTTAGCAGAAGTTGCATTGATTTTGATCATCAATGCAGCACGAACCGATCCACCAACGAACTGCGTAGAATTTGGCGGAACGGTAAGTATAACTCTTTGCGAACCCAAAGTGTGTTGACTTTGATGGTCAAAATGCACTGATTTATTTTGCAGTGTGACCTGCATCGTCGTTGCTGCGGTGAAAACCTCAAGTGCGACCAGTCGATTACTTTCGGCACATACGAGTGCACAGAAAAAGCAAAATTGGGCGACTCGTGTCGACTAGCATTCCAGTGCGTTGACATTCTGCACTCCGTATGTTCGAAAAATAAGTGCGTGTGTCGACAAAACAACGTCAAAGTTAGCGACTACGCCTGCGCGCCAATCTTGAATGGCTATTGTTGGAAAAACGAGACCTGCGTGACGAAGAATTCACTGTGCATTGATAATGAGTGTCAATGCAAAAACGGATTTGTAGCGGAAGCCAACGAGTGTCTGCCAGGTGAGTCACACTTAACTTTGCGAGACACTAGAGTCATTAATCTGTTTTTGCAGTTGTAATTGGATCGAAATGCAGTGACGATGCAGCGTGCGCAAGTGTCAAATTCGCAGAGTGCTCTTTAAACAATGTTTGTGCCTGCTCAGAAAACGCGATTGCAATCAATGAAAGGACGTGCTCGATACGTTTGGGAGAAACTTGTCAAACTAACGACGATTGTACTGCCGTTAAATCTTTGTGCGTTGAAAATAAGTGCCAATGCAGAGCTCAACATTTTGCCTACTCTGAGATCGAATGTAGACTGGGTGAGTTTGATTTTTTAGGTGCATTGATCTTGAGAGTCAATGCAGTGAGGCATTTGTTGCTTATGTGCTTTTTTCTTTCGCAGCCTTCATAGGAATGCCTTGCAATCTATCAAGGGTATGCTATGCCCATTTCAAAAACTCACACTGCATCGACAAAACCTGTCAATGTTACGATAATTACTTGCTGAGAGACGGAAATGCATGCTTACCAGTGACAAGCTCGTATTGTTCAACAACCGATAAGTGCTTGGACGCCGAATCTGTCTGCATTGCCAGTTGGTGTCAATGCAAGACTAACTACGTCATGCGGGAGTTTAAATGTCTGCCACGTAAGAACTTAAAAAATAATATTTTTATAATCTAGTTGAACTTTTATTTACATTGTCAATGCAGAACAATTGACGGGACGATGCAGTAAAAATTCAGACTGCTCCGAAGTGACTTTTGCGGTGTGTTCAAAAAAAGAATGCGCTTGTCCAAACGGATTCTTTAATGTCAATGCAACAGCCTGCGCAAAAACTCTTGGTGGAAGCTGCAATGTCAATGAAGATTGTGCCGTCAGATTCTCCAATTGTTTTGAAAAAAAGTGTCAATGCAATCACGGCTACACGCAGTATTCCGAGAGTCAATGCAGTGCGAGTGAGTAACAATAATTATATCTAATCAACACAATTATCATCTGACTTGAAAATAATTTTAGCGGAACTAGGAACGACTTGTTTTGACAACAGCACTTGCAATCTGATAAAGAACGCACGTTGCTTAGAGAGTCAATGCAGTTGCAAGGACAACCATATTGAAATGGATGCATCCACATGCGCTCCGTTGCTCAACGCCAACTGCTCCAATGACCTGAACTGCGCTCCCCAAAACTCGGTCTGCATTGATAATAAGTGTCAATGCGAGTTCAGTTACTTCCCGAAGTCCAACTACGAGTGTGTCTTAAGTAAGTCTTAGACCTCAGCTGAGATTTTTTGCTAGTTTGATTGCTTTTAGGGTACCTGGAATTGCGATGCAGAATTGACAAGGACTGCATAAACATTCGCTTCGCAAAGTGTTCTGACGCTGGGAAATGCATCTGCCGTAAGAATTACGCGCGAACTGGCCCAACAACTTGTTCGCCAACTTTGGGAGGTTACTGCGCAAGCAAGAGCGAGTGTTTTACTGTCAATGCAGAGTGTTCCAGGAATCAATGTCGTTGTTCTCCAGGACACACGCAGCACTCTGATGACCTCTGCTTACCTGGTAAGTTTGTGAGACTGACCAAGATTGTGCATTGACACTCGAAACATCGGCGCATTGACTCTGAGTGACGATGCAGTAGAATTCTACCTCATCTGGTTTAGCGAATAACAATTCCCGTTTGGAAATTGATAATTTTCTGAGCGAATCCTTGCAGTGTTCCTGGGTCAGAAGTGCGACATTGACAAAGATTGTGATAAAATATCAAACGCTGAGTGTTCTCGCAGAAGATGTCAATGCAGAGAAGGGTACACAAAGTTCGACCGCCAGGTGTGCTTGCCTCTGATTGGCACGCGCTGCACGGAACACAAAGAGTGCGCTGTCTACAATTCTAATTGCGTTGACAATGCGTGTCAATGCTTGGAGACTTTCGTTCCGCAGACTCAGTCCAAGTGTGTGGCAAGTAAGTAGTTTACTTGTCGGTTACAGCAATTGCATCGTCACTTATTTTCTATACTTTTAGCTGGCATTAACAGTATTTGCTACAGCGACGATGATTGTCATACAGTAAATACGCATTGTTCAAGATTTCAATATTGCGTTTGTACTAAAAATTACATCTCGTTGGACAATACGACATGTGTTTCAATTCTCGGAGCTCATTGCGCGGAAAGCGCGACCTGTACCACCTTTCATTCTGGTTGCATTGACAAAAAGTGTCAATGCAGCCAAGGTTTTGTCCCGGGGCTGTACAATGATTGCGTATCAGGTTAGTATAAGATTCACTTGCAATTTTAATTACCGCCAACTTTATTTGCATTGACGCCTAATTTCAATGCAGTCTAAATTATCCAATGTGCCTCACATTGTCTGCCAAATTCGTGACTTATAACCTGAATTACACCTAAAAATTGTATTTATAGTCACGTTAGGCGGCGTCTGTGCAACAGATCGTGATTGTAAGAGCATACCACATGGAATTTGCATTGACAAGAAATGTGCGTGCAAACCCGACACATTTGCATTGACCCCGTCAGCCTGTACCCACTTGTTGAACACCAATTGCTCGTCTTCTGCCGATTGCGACGTCGACGCGTCCCACTGCTTTGAGAATAAGTGTCAATGCAAGCCTGATTGGGCGGCACTCACTGATATGATGTGTGTAAGACGTAAGTACACCCTGTTTTATTCGTCAGTTGTGAAAAAAGCTACAAAAAATTGTTCTGCAGGTTCTGGGCTGTATCATTGTGACACTGCAATTGATTGTGGCGAGCCCTGGCACTCAAAGTGTTCCCAGAACAGATGTGTCTGCAACGCAAATCATATTGCTGTCAATGAACTGACTTGCTTGCCAACTCTTGGCGGAAATTGCTGGAGAGATGATCAATGCATGACGGAAAAGACACACTGCATTGACTTTAAATGTCAATGCAGGCCCGGTTTTGTTGCTGTGGCTACAAATATGTGTGTCGCGCCTCAATAACAGCAGATTTTTCGTTTTTAGCTGTAAAATTTAATAAAAGTTATGAATAATTTTTATTGTTTAAATATTACATTAAATATTTTAAGTAAGGATTTAATTGTAGAAATCAACATTGAAGATAGTTCTTTTCTGACAGTCAACTAGTAGCCTATTTCTGCGCCTGGAAATGAAAAAAAAAAAAAAAAATATTTTCATTGCTTAACTTAGAAAGAGGTAAAATTAATTTTTGTGTAAATTATTAGAAAAATGTTTTATAAAAAAATAAAATAAAAGAATTTCCTAAGCGAATATTACTAACCTACACGAAAAAAAAAATTTCGTTCTGGTAACCAAATTGTAGAGTTACCATAACTATATACAGTTTACAGTTCGTTGTAGAGTTACAGAGTAACAAAATGTTATTTAGTTCTGATAACTCAATGTTGTTGAGCTCTCAGAGCAGTAGTCGAGTGCGCTCACATATTTCATAACCTTCTAAAATGACTAACAGAATTATTTTGTTACTCATCCATATTATTAAAAATATATACGAGGACAATTAAGTCGTCCAGTTTATTATTTATTTAAGGAAATAGGTTTTTTTTTTTTTGTCAAATTGAATTTCGTTAGAACAGTTTTTGTATTTATGGTTTCTCAAGGTTCATTTGCAGTGACTGTTAATTTAATTTATTAGTTTAGTATATTGTGATAAGTAATAAGTTATCGGAATACATTAAAAAGACCTGATTTAACACAAAATAAAATTTGTCTTCGTTTATTTATCTTTTCTTGTGCATATACGGTAGTGATTTTATGTCCAATATTTATTGATATAATTAAGAAAATAAGATAATTTTGTGACGACCATATTTTTATTTTACAAATAATTTTTATTTGTAATATAACTTCTATTATTATTTTATTTCTATTATAATACTATTTGTTATTTGTCATATACAATTATTGTTGGCAGTATAAATTCGTTCTGCTGCATTTATTTATTAAATTATCAATGCTAAATCGTAAAAAAAAATTACTAAGCAGACTGCCAAAAATTTGTTATAGTCTTAGAACGATCCTGTAGAGTTGTGAGAGGTAAATAACGTTTAGCTCTCAGAGCTCAACGACGTAGAGTTGCAGGAGAGCCAAACGGTATTATGTTACCATAAGAATACGCTAACCTACTGGAACTTTTTACAACTAACTACTATAGAGTTCCTATAGCAAAATTTTTTGCTCCGTGTAGAAATAAACTCAGTCCGGTTCCTAAATTTTCATTCCTTCAGATATGGGCAATAAATAAGTTATTTTTTGGAACTTTCTAGCAAGTGATCTGCTGATTACTGAACAAGCTTTCAAATTTATACTGCGCTTGTATTTATATCGTCAATTTGACGGAATTTTCTCCGAAAATTAAACAATCAGGAACTTTGTTAGACAATTGTAACAATTATTACGTTAATTGATTAAAATGTTAAAAATAAAATATAAAATTAAATTTTTAGCTGGCAGTTTTATTGATTAAAATTTACATTTAATTTTTTGGAAAAAGATAAATATATAGAAATCGAAATTGGAGATAATTTATCCTTGGCAGTCAACTGGTAGGCTCAGCCTGACCCTGAAAATAAAAAAACAATATTTTTATTACTTTATTAAGAAAAGGTGTGATTAATTTTTAAGTGTGGGTCGATTAGCAGGAAGAGAATTTAAGGATTGATCGAATAAAATATACTGACCTTCGCTTATGATGAGGTAATATTAGTAGCATTACCGCAATATCCTGTGGAGTTACCGGGGGAAAAGATGCATTTAGTGGCATTAGTGTTATTCCTGCAGTCGAAATCGGTATGACACTAAAAAAAGGAAAAATTTATTAATTTATTTATAAGATTTATAGTAGGTTTATTGATGCTTATTACTGGTTGTGGTGTCACTTGAGCTGCAGCATAATAAGCAAAAGTCATCATTCCGATGAAGAGAAATAACCAGAAAAGCTTCGACATTGTAGTTTTATTTCAGATAGCCTGGAAAAAAATGAATAACACTTTTTATTATAATTTGTCTAATTTGGAATTTAAGTTTCTCGACGCGAGGGCGCTGAAAAGTTTGAGAAATAATTTTTTTTAGGGAAAAAATTGTAGAGGGTTTCAAAGCTGAGACTCTGAGGATTATAAAAATCCCGGCAAAGACATAAAAATAATTAATTTACTATTTTTAACTACGCGATAGAATTTTAAAGAGTTAATTTTGGAAAAATTATGAATTGTTAACTTTGACTAATTTTATTTAATTAAATATTGGGTGTAGAATAAAATGGTTCAGATCAAATTTGTAGCTTTAAGTGTCTTCTTATGAAAAAACTTCAGCCAGTTTCTTAATATTTATTTGAAAAAACGGGTTTTTTGAACTGGGGGCGCTGAAAACTTTGCGTAAAAATGTCGGAATAAAAAAAATCAATAGCGGATCTTAAAGTTGAGACTTTCAAGATTATAAAAATGCCGGCGAAGACATAAAAATAATTAGTTGTCTAATTTTAATCCACTGCCGAAGTTTTAAAAAATATTTTTCACGGAAATTCTAGCTTTTTAAAATTTAACAATTTTTATTAAATAAACAATTGGTCTCAGAAAAAAATGTGTAGGGTAAAAAAGGACCTACGAGTGTCTTCTTTCAATTAAACTTTGACCCGCTGCGTAATAATAATAATTATAATTAAGAAGATATAGATAATAATTAAAAAATTTATTTTGTTACTTACGTAGGAAGTAATCTGCTGATTGCTGGATGAGGTTTGAAATTTCGACTGCACTGACTAGAATTTATACCGAAAATTTAACCCTACTATCCCCGAAAATTTTGAAATTTTCAACGATCGCTGCAATATTGACATTAAACGTATTTTTTTTATCCGAGTCAGTCGGCTAAAATTTTACATCCTTAATCTTATGATTCTGTTGACTCAATTGCGAAGCTACCAAAAATATCTTGTGAAATAAATAAATTAAACATATGAGATGCTTGACGGATTAATTAATTACTGAAGAAGAACTAATTAAATTAAATATTTCCTCACATTTTTGACGGTTGCATCTTGATACGATAACGTTCAGGTTAATCACCCTGCGGTAGTTCATGGTCAAATTTTTATCTGAAACAAATTTCCAGCGCCCTTAGTCGATATTTATTATGTGTTGATGTAGTTAATTTTTCCATATTTGCATGGAGAAAATTTCTATCCAAGCTTGGTATTTTTAATTCTTTAGATGAGTGATCGCTATTCTTTAGGATCGCTATTCCAAATTTTGAGGGTGCATGTTTTCCATGTAAAAAAAAAAAAATTCCCCGATAATTAGGGCCCTTATTAATATAAACTCATTGATATAAAACACCAATTTTATGGTCTAGCGGATGAGATAAATAATTTTTTACATTTTTTTACGAAATCCTCAGAATTTTTCATATAAAATATTAAATTTTCATGGTAAGTGGATTTTTTGTTCGATTAAAAACAATAAAAATGTTTGAGCACTATTTCGGAACTTTTTAAGGTACTACTGAATTTTTTAAAAGAATCAACATTTATTTTTACGGCGTTTAACTTACAGAATCTAAATAAAGTTAAAGCATCTTCGAAAACCTAAACATTGAGTCTTATTCGAATTATTAAATTAAAATAAATTTTTTTTTGTAAAATAGATGCAGATTTTTTAGTATTAAATTTTGAACAAAAATTTCTTGAGGTAAATTTCTAATTAATAATATATTAATTTAATTATTTAATATTTTAATTATTTGCCAATGAAATGTTGTAAATTATCGGACTCTTAATTTCAATTTTGCTGTTATCATTTATAATTAACATATTAAAAATTAAAGTAATAAAAAATAAGACTTCAAAAAAAATTCTAAATAGTGCTCAAAAATTTTTATTATTTTTAATCGAACAAAAATTTACTTACAATAAAAATTTAATATTTTGTATGAAAAATTTTGAGGATTTCGTAAAAAAATGTTAAAATTTATTTATTTCAGCCGCTAGACCATAAAATTGGTGTTTTATATCAATGAGTTTATATTAAGGGCCCTAATTTTCGGGGAATTTTTTTTACATGGAAAACACCCTCAAAATCATCGCAACATCTCAAGTCATTCATTACTGATTCAGCTCTATATTGTGTACCCCATGGTGCAACATATATCATCAAAATTATGGAGTAGATTCTTGGTTTGATGTTATCATTGTTGATAGTCAGAGGACAAGATTGATAAATTTTCCAAGTCCGCCAGCCCGTTCATTGGCGGCCACGATTATCTACTTAATTGTGATTATAAGTTAACATCTCCAAATAATAATGAAAGAATAGTAAAGTTTCGTGATTTCAAACGCTGTGATCATCTAGCGCTCTTCCAGGCTCTTAGTCAGCGGTTAGATCTTCGTAATATGGACATTGATGATAAAGATCCTAATGAACTTACCTCTATCTTTCTGACACTGCAGTCATCGATTCATTAAATGAATTTGCGCCGTTTACGGAGAGAAAACTATATCGTCAAAAAACACCATGGCTGAAGAAAGACCTCAAGCTGGAGTTACATAATCGTGATACTATTTATAAGCAAGCTCGCAGAACGGGGAATTTAAATCTCTTATCCTTATATAAAAAACTAAGAAGCGAATTAAAAATTAAGATATGTGATGCACGTGATAATTATTTTAAAAATGTTTTAGAGGAAAGTGCTCAGGGCTCTGACATTTGGTCCAAGCTGAAAAAGCTAGGAATTATTAAACCTAGGCAGTCTTCACCACTGGATCACTTTGATGCGAATTTACTGAATAATTTCTACGCTAGTACTGTAACCAAATACCCGTCATGTGACAAAAATTTCGTCTTTGATCTACCCAATCATCATACGAAACAAGTAAATTGTGTCTTCAACTGGTCAAAGTTAGATATTGTTGATGTGACAAAAAATCTCTAGCTAACGTTATCAAAATCTAAAGGTAACAGTCCGGACGAGCTGGATCTTAAGTGGTTGAAGGATCATCTGTCGCAGATTACTCTCTTTCTGACTGGCTTATTTAACCGTTCACTGGATTCAGGTGTTTTTCCTGATGCTTGACAACCTTTTGAATGAGCATCAATCTGGTTTTCGTAAGCATCATAGCACCCAGGCTGCATTGCTTAGATTAACTGACGATTTTCGTCATGCCATCGATAATGATGATCTAACATTTCTTGTTCTTTTTGACTTCACTAAAGCCTTTGATCATTTGAACCATAAAGTTCTACTTACGACGTTATTTGAAATGGGTTTTTCCATTGAATCAATTTTGTGGTTCCAGTCCTACCTCACGGATAGATCTCAGTCGATTATTGATGCCTCGAATACTCCTTCAAGACCTTCATTTACTACGTCGGGGGTTCCACAGGGATCGATCTTGGGCCCTATTCTTTTGTTGATTGCTATAAATGTAGTGACGAGGCGATTGCAACATTGTAAATACGGTTTATTTGCGGATAATTTGTGGGCTTGTATCCATTTCAAATCTTTTGAGTTGTATGAGGCTGCAGACAAACTTACTGTCGATGCTCAAAGTGTGGCAGACTGGGCTCGTGAAAATGATCTACAATTAAACTTCAATAAAACTAAGGTCATGATCCTAGGCAGCAAAGGAAAACTGAAGTTACTTGATGGTTTTGACCTACCACCAATCATTGTTGATGGTAATGTCATACCTTATGTCGATACCACTAAACATCTAGGCATCGAACTATCGAATAACCTCTCATGGAATGCTCATACTTCGCAAATCTCTAGGAAGGCCTATGCTGCGTTAAACAGCTTGAAGTATAGAAAAATAGAGTATCTTATCTCAATCTTGTCGCAAGCTACTTGTCACTACTACCATCCTACCGATAATTAATTATTGCTCTCTTGTATTGTTAGACTTATCAAAAGGACTTGATATCAAATTACAACGCATACTAAATAGTACAATAAGATTCATCTTTAATCTTAAGCGGGATGAGCATATCACGCCCTATCGTCAAGATTTAAGATGGCTCAGTATTAGGATGCATGGGATTTATAGTCTGGCATGTTATTTTTACAAGTTATTGCAGACTGGAGAACCAAAATATCTGCGAAAACTGTTCTGTGATGAAGATGAAAGTGTTAGGCGTTCGGATAGACTTGCTCAGAAGAATAATAATATTATCTTTAGAATTCCTAATTTCCATCATTCTGTTGTCTTTGAAACGCTCATTCGTAGTGTCAGCCATACGCCTATGGCAGGAACTTCCGCTGGATGTCATAGGCTCTTTATCAATAGGGAGTTTTAAACTCAAAATGCTAAATTATCTTTTGGATCTTGAAGCTGGTGGTAAAGACGTGAATTTGGTTATAAATAATTTGTAACTTGCAGGAATTAGTAGGAGTTGTAAATCTTGTAAACATTGTTAAGAGTAGATTTGTAAATTTGTAAATTTATAAATTTATAAATTTTCAAATTGTTATGTTTTTAATTACTTACGAAGTAAATTAAATATTAGTTATATATTCATGTAAATATATTTCCACTGTTTTATATTCTTGCCATTCGACTCTGGCCTTTGGCATACAATTAATAAATAAATAAATAAATAAATAAAAATTTGGAAACGATCCTGGAAAAATAATTTTATTCGGTGGAATCACCCATCTAAAGAGTTAAAATTACCAAGCTTGGATAAAAATTTTCTCCATGCAAATATGGAAAAATTAAGTTCATCAACACATAATAAATATCGACTAATAAGGACACTGGAAATTTGTTTCAGATAAAAATTTGACCATGAACTACCGCAGGGTGATTAACCTGAACGTTATCGTATCAAAATGCAACCCGTCAAAAATGTGAGGAAATATTTAATTTAATTAGTTCTTCTTCAGTAATTAATTAATCCGTCAAGCATCTCATATGTTTGATTTATTTATTTCACAAGATATTTTTGATAGCATCGCAATTGAGTCAACAGAATCATAAGATTAAGGATGTAAAATTTTAGCCGACTGACTCGGATAAAAAAAATACGTTTAATGTCAATATTGCAGCGATCGTTGAAAATTTCAAAATTTTCGGGGATAGTAGGGTTAAATTTTCGGTATAAATACTAGCCAGTGCAGTCGACATTGCAAACCTCATCCATCAGTCAGCAGATTACTTGCTACGTAAGTAACAATAAATTTTTTATTTATTATCTATATCTTCTTAATTAATCATTGTTACGGAGAAGGTCAAAGGTTAATTGAAAGAAGACACTCGTAGTTCCTTTTTTTTTTTTTTTTTTACCGAAATCGTTTTTTCCTAAGACCAATTGTTTATTTAATAAAAATTTTTAAATTATAAAAAGCTAGAATTTCCGTGGAAAATATTTTCTAAAACTTCAGCAGTGAATTAAAAATAGACAAATAATTATTTTTATATCTTCGCCGGTATTTTTATAATCTCCAAAGTCTTAGCTTTAAGATCCACTATTAATTTTTTTCATTTCGACATTTTTTCGCAAAGTTTTCAGCGCTTCCAGTTCAAAAAACCCATTTTTTCGCCAAATTTTCACGTTTTTGTTAATTAAAAAATTCATAACTTATTTTCTAATAAAAATTAAGAAACTGATGGCTAAAGTTTATCCAAAAGAAGATACTTTTATTTAAAACATTTTATTCTACACCCATTATTGAATTCAATAAAAATAGTTAAAGTTAAAAATTAATAATTTTTATTACAAAATTAAATCTTTAAAATTCTATCGCTTAATTAAAAATAGTAAATTAATTATTTTTATGTCTTCGCCAGTATTTTTATAATCCTTAGAGTCTCAGCTTTAAAACCCACAACAAAATTTTCCCTAAAAAAAATTATTTCACAAACTTTTCAAGGCCCCCGCTTCAAAAAACTTTAATAATTCCGAACTAGGCAAATTCTAATGAAAAGTTTTATTATTCTTTCAGGCTATCTAAAGTAAATCTACAATGTCGCAGCTTTCCTTGGTGTTTCTTCTCTTCGCTGTGGTGGCTTACGTCCATGCTTAAACTGTCCCATCAATAGGTCTTAACGGAGAGTTAATTAATGAGCACCGATGAACTCATTGTCAATCTTATAAGAAAAATAATCATTCCTTGACTCAATTATTTTCCAGTACGATCCTAATGCCTCGCACGGAAAAAAAAATTTCGTTCTGGTAACCAAATTGTAGAGTTACCATAACCTATACACAGTTTACTGTTAGTGTCGTAGATTTACAGTAACAAAATGTTATTTAGTTCTGATAACTCAATGTTGTTGAGCTCTCGGTGCTCAACGGGATTGTTCTCAGAGCCAAACGGTATATAGTTGGGAGCTAGAGCTTTACATTGCGCAGTAGTCGAGTGCGCTCACATATTTCATAACCTTCTAAAATGACTAACAGAATTATTTTGTTACTCATCCATATTATTAAAAATATATACGAGGACAATTAAGTCGTCCAGTTTATTATTTATTTAAGGAAATAGGTTTTTTTTTTTGTCAAATTGAATTTCGTTAGAACAGTTTTTGTATTTATGGTTTTTCAAGGTTCATTTGCAGTGACTGTTAATTTAATTTATTAGTTTAATATATTGTGATAAGTAATAAGTTATCGGAATACATTAAAAAGACCTGATTTAACACAAAATAAAATTTGTCTTCGTTTATTTATCTTTTCTTGTGCATATACGGTAGTAATTTTATGTCCAATATTTATTGATATAATTAAGAAAATAAGATAATTTTGTGACGACCATATTTTTATTTTACAAATAATTTTTATTTGTAATATAACTTCTATTATTATTTTATTTCTATTATAATACTATTTGTTATTTGTCATATACAATTATTGTTGGCAGTATAAATTCGTTCTGCTGCATTTATTTATTAAATTATCAATGCTAAATGGTAAAAAAAATTACTAAGCAGACTGCCAAAAATTTGTTATAGTCTTAGAACGATCCTGTAGAGTTGTGAGAGGTAAATAACGTTTAGCTCTCAGAGCTCAACGACGTAGAGTTGCAGGAGAGCCAAACGGTATTGTTACCATAAGAATACGTTATATTAACCTACTGGAACTTTTTACAACTAACTAACTACTATAGAGTTCCTATAGCAAAATTTTTTTCTCCGTGTAGCTTTAAGTGTTTTCTTTAGCCAGTTTCTTAATTTTTATTAGAAAAAAATTTTCTTAGCGGGAAGTTAAAACTAGCAGCATAAAAAATTTCGTTTTATTTATTTTGGCTTCCAGATCCCACCTACCAAATATTTACTTTAATAATTATTTATTCTTCAGTAATTAATAAATTCTAAATTTGATTGATGTAGTCGTTGAAACGGCTGTTGATTATAATATTTACGAGGGGAATTAATTCAGTATAAATTTAAATACGAGGATTGCAGTCGAAATTTTAAACTCCGTTCAGCAATCAGCAGATAACTTGCTACATAAGTTCCAGAATATTTTTTTTTACTGACCATAACTCATGAACTAATCAATATTACGGAACCGGATGGAGTTTTATTTAAAGAAGACACTTGTTGGTACCTTTTTTATCTAAAATATTTTTTTTAAGACAAATTGTTTATTTAATAAAAATTGTTAAAGTAGGAAATATTGAAACGGAATGTTTCCTTCTCTTGGTCGCCCCTTTTCTCTTAAGGGCGCCACTGGATTTTTGTCCTCAGTATCCAGAACTGGACCAGAACATGGAGTGCTAGGTCAGGGTCGTGAGAGATTTGTTGAAAGGAACTATGATCAAAACACAGAATTTCGTTTAACAAAAATTATTTATTTATCCAATCCCCCTTATAATTGTGATATGGCCAGTATAACAATATATAAAACTTCATGGACTCCAATGCTCATTCACACTCACACTCACACATACACACACACACACACACACACACTCGGGG